AGAGGGGGGAAGGGGGAGAGGAAAGCTCATCACCTATTAAACCATCTTGTTAGTCTTTAAAGTGCTACACAGTCCTGTTTTTTGTTTCAGCTGCACCAGACTAAAACGGCTACATTTCTATCACTATTCTTTATTTGTGGCAGGGATGTATAACCTTTTTGAGTCAGGGGACACTGACATACAGAAAAAATCAGTTGGGAACAACACAAGTGAGAAACAACAAAACTCCTCCCCAAACCCCCAACCCTCACTGAGCTGACCTCCAACTCAGACACCTCCATGGGGCAAGAGAAGGGACAGGGAAGACTGAGGTTCAGGGTTTCCCATAGACCAGATTTACTTGTCTGGTGGATTTTATGGACCCCCTTAGGTTCTGGGTGGGGACAAAAATGAGAGGTTGAGTGTGTGGAATGGGGGTAGGAGTTGGACTGCCCTGATCTGGCACCCTTGGGACCTGATTGGTCCCAGATAAGGAGTTGTTCCAAACCAGGGGAGGTCATTTCAGGCCCCCTGCTGCCAACCGCTCTCCCCCACCACTGGGCTTCTGGGCTTCCTAGGTCCCTCCTGCCCTGGCTCCCACACTGGTTCCCTGTGACCCCCCTCCCCACACCAGCCCAGACAAGCTACATGCTGATTCCCTGCACCCCACCCTCGCAGCCCAGCTGAGCTCCACGCCAGTTCCTCGTATTCCCCTTGCAAATTACTTGTTTTTGCAGGCTCCCAGCAGTCACTGCCTCCTGCTGCTCCTATTGGCTGGATCCCAAACAGCAGGGAAAGCCTCCAGGAAGTGTCCTTGACTCCTATTCCCCTAGCCGAGGGAGAGGGAGGAGAAACAGCAGCATGCAGCCACTTTTAGCTGCGTTTGGAGTCTAGGGGCTTTTCAGGACATTTCAGAGTTTCATGGGGACACTGGGACAGGAAATTAAAAATCTATCCCGGAAAAATCTGGGACAGATGGTCAGCATAGCTATGACTCTACATATCAGGGGAAGTTCCCACCTTTTACCATAGTGTGGAATGCAGCTTACTAGGAATTGCTTTATGCCTTCCTATCCCCCAAGCAAGACAATGTAAAACCCCTGCGGTAAATAATTACATAAAAGTGTATATATACACACAAGTATTTAATTAATTTTAGTTATCTTTAATGTAATTTAGCAGCTGAGAATGAGGATGACTGGCAATACCAAAGCTTGATCAAAGCCCATTGAAATCAATAAAAAAAAAAAAAAAAAAAAGACTCCCGTTGACTTCAATGGATTTTACATCAGGCCATATGTGACTTGCTGTATGCAGTTTGCCAAAAAGTTTTGCATGGCCCATCGCAGGAATTGTTAACAAAAACTAGCATAATCTTACCATATCAAAAATCCTTCTCTCCCCTCCATCCTTAATTTTAATAATTTTTCAAATATGAAATTCAAAGTTTACATGTTTATTCATAAGCCCAGATTAATTTTATGTGTAGGATGCATTACACAATATACAAGCAAAGCTATGAGAAATGACTCAAAATTAAATGTTATGAGCTTGATATTTTAAAGTTATTTTGTATTTTAAAAACTATGATGTTTTACTACATGGTTTCTCTGTTTAAAGCATATCTATTTCTCATCTTGATCTTGAGAAAGTTATTTCTATGGTTTGGTGATGGCATAAAAAGTTATATTAGATGTATTAAATAGAGGTGTTTTTATATCTAGCTAGGATTTACTGACAGTTGAATTGATACATTCTAACACTCAGAACCTTAGGGTTGCCAACCTCATCAGGACTGGCTAGGAGTAGGGATGTGAAAGTGTAACCGTTTACACAGTTAACCTTTGAGTCTGGGCTCATCAGTTAACATGCATGGTTACACATAAGAACATAAGAATGGCCATACTGGGTTAGACCAAAGGTCCATCCAGCCCAGTACCCTGTCTCCCAACAGTGGCCAATGCCAGGTGTCCCAGAGGGAGTGAATCGAACAGGTAATGCTCAAGCGATCTCTCTCCTGCCATTCCCCCTCCCCCTTACTCTCCTCTTTTCCAAGCTGAAAAGTCCCAATCTCTTTAATCTCTCCTCATATGGGACCCATTCCAAACCCCTAATCATTTTAGCTGCCCTTCTCTGAACCTTTTCTAATGTAATCTTTTTTGAGATGAGGAGACTACATCTGCACGCAGTATTCAAGATGTGGGTATACCATGGATTTATATAAGATCAATAAGATATTCTCCATCTTATTCTCTATCCCTTTTTCAATGATTCCTAACAACCTGTTTGCTTTTTTGACTGCCGCTGCACACTGTGTGGATGTCTTCAGAGAACTATCCATGATGACTCCACGATCTCTTTCCTGATTAGCTGTAGCTCTGAGACTTGAAAAGAAGTACTCATGAATAAGAATATCATTTGCAGTTATAGTAGTTAGGATAACAATTACCTATTCTCAGGGTATCGGCTGATAGCCAGCTGGGGAAAGGATTAAATTTCCCCCCAGGGGATAATGTTATACAATTGCCAAGTTCATTATGGAAATATTATTCCTTCCTCTGAAACATCTGCTATAAAACACTGTATGAGAGACAATACTGGACTAGACAGACCATCAGTCTGTTTCAGTACAGTAATTACTATTAAGCCTGAAAATAATTATCAGAATTATGTATATGACTCCTTGCAAACACGTAGATTTTAACCAGTTCTCGGTCCATGAAAGACCTCTTATCCCATGACAACTTAATTTACATAACAGCCTTTGGTGAGAGAGCTTGTCAAAGGCTTTCTGGAAATCTAAGTACACTATATCGACTGGATCCCCCTTAGCCACATGTTTGTTGACCCCTTCAAAGAACTCTAATAGATTAGTAAGACATGATTTCCCTTTACAGAAACCATGTTGACTTTTGCCCAACAAATTATGTTCTTCTATGTGTCTGACAATTTTATTCTTTACTATTGTTTCAACTAATTTGCCCGATACTGATGTTAGACTTACTAGTCTGTAATTGCCAGGATCCCCTCTAGAGCCTTTTTAAATATTGGTGTTACATTAGCTATCTCCCAGTCACTGGGTATAGAAGCTGATTTAAAGGATAGGTTACAAACCATAGTTGTTAGTTCCGCAATTTCACATTTGAGTTCTTTCAGAACTCTTGGGTGAATGCCATCTGGTCCCGGTGACTTTTTACTGTTAAGTTTATCAATTAATTCCCAAACCTCCTCTAATGTCACTTCAATCTGTGACAAGTCCAGATTTGTCACCTAAAAGTACGGGTCAGGTTTGGGAATCTCCCTAACATCCTCAGCCGTGAAGACTGAAGCAAAGAATTCATTTAGTTTCTCCGCAATGAAAGTCCCCCCCCCCTCCACTGCTGCCTCTGTATCAGTTGGGGTGGGGGGGAATGGAAGCTGGTCCCAGCACATGCCAGCTTAAGTACAGTCTCCCCTGCCCATGCACTGTTGCCTCTGACAGAGACAGTGAGGAGTCAATACATACAGAGAGTCGACTTAAAAGCTGGCACTCCATGTATACTGCCCCCCACGGAACCACCTCCCCCTCACACACTGCTGCTTATGATATAGAGGCAGCAGCAGAGTATGGGGGAACGGCAGGCATCAGTGCATACAGGGAGTAGGCTTAAGCCTGCTCCCACCTGTCTCCACCCACCTCACAGCGTATAACTGAAAAATTCAGCTGTTATGCATTTAATTATGTAACTGTATTTTAACAGCCCTAGCTTGGAGTCTCCAAGAATTAAAAATCTTTAGTTAAAGATTATGTCATGTGATGAAATCTCCAGGAATACATCCAACCAAAATTGGCAACCCTATTTCCCACTGTTATACCACAACTACGACAGTGATTATTTTTAGAAAATACACATTAAGTTGGAAGATATTTTTAATAAGAGTTTGAAAATCTGAATAGAAGTAGTTTTATACTTATTTAGGAATTCCTTATCACTTCAGAACACCAGTTTGAAAGATTTTGGTTAATGGGCAAGGATATATAACTAAAATGTGGATAAAAACTACACCTCTGATAACTGACAAATTTTAGATTAAATCCTGCTTCAAATATTTTAAATAGAGACACAGATAGATGGATCAAGCGCACTGATAAACTAGGATTTGTTGTCTTATGAGTTCAGTTTTCCCTCTCTGAATTTTTGGGTCATGATCAGCCTTTTTGGTTTCACTTTTTAAACACAAATCACATCAGTCTGGAAGTCATTTTACTCATGGAAACAATCCCTATTTGTGTACTACAGATAGTGTGGACTACTTACATGCATAAAGGTGGTACGATGGGATCTAGGATTTTACCCTTGGGCTTTTAAAACACCACTAGATACTGTATGGCTATGTCTAGACTGCAGGCTTTTTTTGGAAGAAGCTTTTCTGGAAGAAATCTTCCGAAACAACTTCTTCCGAAAGAGCATCCACACTGCGAAAGCACATCGAAAAAGCATTCTGCTTTTTCAACAGATAGTGTCCACAATGAATGGTTGCTATCTCCCATGTAAGCTTGGATTACTATGGGCGGAATGACCACCAGGGCACCTGTGCTTTTTCCTCTTCTTGCGAAAGGACCCTCTCTTTGCTGTCCACACAGGCCTTTTTCTGAAAGAGCTCTTCAAAACAGTTAGGTTTCAGCATCAAACTTTAGTAAATAGCAGAAAGAGGTTTACCAATGTTGGAAAAACCCCTCTATTCTTTCAATTTTTTTTTTTTTTGAACGAACACGATTGCAGTGTGGATGTAATTGAAGTTTTTTTGGAAAAAACACTATTTTTCAAAAAATCCCTATGTAGCGTAGTCATACCCTATGGTTGCTTATGGGGTATCATTTACAGGCTATGATGGTGGCTACTATGAACAAACAAAAAAACAAAAGTTTCTGTTTTACCAAATACTCAAATTGACATTTTTCTAGAGGTCATTTTAAAAAAAAATCATTTTGTCAATGTCTTTATATAGCCCATTTGCTCCTTCAAGTGAAATGTACTTACTGCTCTTTTTCTGGAACACCCGGTTATCCAAGGCACAGTAAGGTTTCCTGAAATCTGAGGAAGCAAATGAAAAAAATCTATAAGGCACATGCTCAGATTGCTGATATGGCAAACAATACTATGTAGATACCTTTTGCATGACTTGTGCAAAATAATCAAGCTTTAAAGAGTGTGTGTTCATTGAGGTAAGAGTCTATCAATACAAGTACAGATCTAAATGCCCTTCTTTCCTGAAGAAGAAAATGCTTGCAAGATTTTCATAGGGGAACAAATTCAATTTGTGTTACTCACGTGCGTAATCTGACTACTGTGGGACTGGCCTGATGAGCTAGGTGAGTAGAGTTGCTCTTATTGAACTGAAGTTTCCGGACTAACTTTGTACTATATAGTAAGTAACACCAGTCCTAAAAACAACGTTTTTAAATGGTATGGAAATCAATGCATTTACAGAGCTCTTACTGAAAGGCTATAAAGTATATTCTGTAGCACTGGCTAAAATACATTTTATTATAGTCTGTAGACCAAATCTACTAAATTACAATAATCTCCTAAATCAACAGCCAGCCAATCCCCCATTAATAAAAATGACCTGAGTACTACTATCATGGAGTTACCAGAGTTTAGCACCTCTTTGGATTGTCCCAATGGGAAATCTGCACAAAGACTATGGGTGGAATATAGGCCTTAGTTAATTACAGGCAGTCCCCGGGTTACATGGATCCGACTTACATCGGATCCCTACTTACAAACGGGGTGAGGCAACCCCGCACTAGCTGCTTCCCCCCAGCAGACCAGGGAGACGCGGAGCGGCTTTTCTCAGCAGACACCTCAGCTTGAGAATAAAGGCCTGAGGGAAGTGAGGTCTGGGAGAATAAAACTGAGCTCTGGGGAAATGTTTGGCTAGAGTTTCCGCTACAATATGTACCAGTTCCGACTTACATACAAATTCAACTTAAGAACAAACCTACAGTCTCTATCTTGTACGTAACCCGGGGACTGCCTGTACTACTATTTTAGGGCCAATTTTCCAAGTCAGTTACACGGAGGCATCTTTCATTTACTGTAGTGGAAGATGTCTCAGTGTAACTTAGAGCACAATTAGGACTCTAATAAAGCTACTGTTGCACAGAACAGGAAAGAAAATGATGCAAAGAACTTTTCATCAATGTCACTTCTGCTCTTTGTATATATGATAAACCAGTGCTACCTGTTAGCAGAAACACTGAACTAGTTTAATTACTGGCTCTGTAGCCATAGAGCCTTGCAGCTCCCATTGGTGGCAAACGGCAAACTGCAGCCCACGGGAGCTGAAAGACTTTATGACTGCAGGAACATTCAGTTAAAAAACAAAACAAAAACGAAGTGGTCCATTAGGCAGCTTTCTCAAGGTGGGCCCATTGAACTAGTAGTTGTACCATTACCCACTTTGAATGCACAATCAGAGTAACTTCAAGTTAGGTAAAGTTGTATACCCAAATTATTTTAAACATTTGTTTTTAAAATGCCATTGTTACGTTTCAGAAATAATACCTCAACAAGATGCAAATGAAAGTCAAAATTCAGAAAACAATTGCTTCCGGGTAAGGCAGACTTTGTCTATGCTTAAAAAGTTTAAAGCACAGCCAAAGCAGTGCCTTAACCTGAAAGTGTAGCCATGACACAGAGCACGGGAAGAGAGCACTCCCAGCGCTCTGTGTAGCCAAGTTCACGCTGGAGCTTTACAATGTTATAAAGTGTTGCACTCAGAGTTGTGATGGGGGGAAGAGGGGAAGTGTTATTTTCACATTCCTAAGCCAGAAAGTTACAACACTGTTAAATGCCAGTGTAGACTTAGCCAAAGTTACACTAACACATTCAGGTGGATGTATCTGTGCAACTAGAAAGACTAGAAATTTGAAATGACACCTTGAATTCAGCATCATGGAGGCCAGATCAATACATCAAGCAGGCTGGATCCAGCTCATGGGTCAAGTGCATAAAAATCACTCACTGCCAAAAACATACCTTCCAGTTGTATCTGTTATGCATACCGGTTTTTATGTAATGTTCCAGGGACATTAATCAATAATCCAGATTCAAAACAGTTAGGTTTCAGCATCAAACTTTAGTAAATAGCAGAAATTTGCATTTTAGAGTAATAAATTTTCACTTTCAGTGGAGCTTGCCTCTTGACCACTACAGATTCCCACAATGTTCCATGTAATTTTTTTTCATCCATGTGCATATTTTTTCTATGTGAGGAATAGATTTTTATGTGCACCAAGGCACATGTAAACGTGTACCACCAGTAGATACAAACACCTAGCTGTGGGCACGCTGCTAATCAGCTGGGCAGCATTTGAATATCTCCCAAGTGGCCACACAAGCACACAGCTTACAGGAAACACTGATTCCCACACTTCCAAAGAAGCATTTGCTTACACATAAAGCTGAAGTGTACTTCTTTCTCTCTCCAACTCAGCCTTACAGGGTATGAAATAATATTCTATGCTGGTTTTGGGTTCTGCTATAAGCATCCTTTATGCACAAGAGACATTGATGATACTCTCAAACAATTCATTTAATAAAAAGAAAAGAAAGCCATCACAGACCTAACACACCTATTTCAAAATATGGTAAACTTAATACTTCCCTCTCTGCATTATATTCAAGAGGAATGTAAATGAGGCAAATCGAAAGTGCAAATGAAGCGCGGATTTAAATATTCCATGCGTCATTTGCATATTTGCGTCCGAGCGCTTTTTCGAAAAAGGGTTTTTTGAAAGTGAAAGCGTAGTCTAAACGGGGTTCTTTCAAAAAAAACCCATTTTTTCGAAAGAACCTGTAGGATTACGGGTTAATTCAAAAAATGTTTTCTTTTTAAAAAAACCCCGTTTAGACTATGCTTTCACTTTCAAAAAACCCTTTTTCGAAAAAGCACTCGGATGCAAATATGCAAATGAAGCACTGGATATTTAAATCCGCGCTTCATTTGCACTTTCGATTTGCTTCTTTTACATCCCTCTTTTGAAAGAGGAATGTAGTTGAGACGTGCCCTTACTGTATTTAAACAGACTTTTATTGCTTCACCAGCTAATCAAGAGTGCAAAAGTCAACCAGAGACAATACAAACTACAGGAAGAAATAAACAGGAGGTTTCCAGTTTATGACTAAGACCAAAGAACTAGCTTGGTATATTAGAAGAACACAGGGAGGGACACGATAATTACTACAGAGTACACCAATAGTGGGCTTGCTTCATGAACAAAAGATCACAACCTTGGCTGTAATACAAAAAAGGGCAATCATGAGTGGCCTTCCTTCACTTTAGTGGCCTCAACATCCCACGGCCCACTGGGACTACACCTGCAACCCCACAACTACCATCTGTCCCTCTTCCCCCATGCTCTCTTCCCACTTACCTGCTCCAGCTGCATCACTCAGGGGAGCAGGGCAGGCTAGAGCTGGATTGCTCTGCTTCCCAGTGCTGGTGGAGCAGAATGACCTCACTGGGTGATAGCAGTGGGGAGTCGGCTGGGTTCTTCTACTCCCTGCAGCACCCGCCACTGCTGGTGAATGCATAGCAGGCCTGACCCCTGCTTCCAGCACCAGGCCCCCTGCTTCCAGCATCCTATGGACAGGACAGCTCTGAGCAGATACTCTGCTATCATGTGGACCACAAACTCTGATTCACCTGGTATGCATTTTACCTGCTTTAACATCTCAAAAACTCTCACTTCTTTGCTAACAAATCTTTAGTTAATTCACTAGAAAGATTGACTATATCATCATCTTTGGTGTGAGATCAAGAACATCCAGTACTGTTGAGTACCTGAGACTGGCACTCAAATCTGCGAGCCATACCAGTACAGCAACATGAAAGTCTCAATATCTTCCAAAGGTGAAACAAATCAGACAAAGTGGATGAGGTAATATCTTCTATTGGGCCCAAACTTCTATTGGTGAGTGAGAAAAGGTTTTGAGCCACAGATAATTCTTTTCAGGTCTGGGAAAGATACTCGCAGCTTCACAGCAACAGAATGCATTGTTTAGCTTCTTTCCCAGACCTGAAAAGAATTTTCTGTGGCTTAAAACCTTGTCTTGCTCACCGACAGAAGTTTGGTCCCAAAGATATTACCTCATGCACCATGTTTCTTTAATATATTTGCACCAACATGGCTACAACTACACTGCACACAAAGGGAAAACAAGGCCATTTTAATTCAAAAGGGCTTCCTCCGTAGGAAGGAATAGATTCCTAGGGGATATATTTTAGAAAAAGAATATACTGAACCATTGGTAACTAGTACAAAGCTGTATTATTCAGATGAAGCAGAAAGACTCCCTTTTCCAGGAACAAAAGAATCCTTTGAAATAGGCTGATGCTGTCTGATGTCTTCTTAAAGCAATATTAGGAAGAAATGAGTTATTCGTGCAGTAGATTGAATCAAGCTTTCTGACTATAAAATAATAATAGGGATGCACTTTATGGGAAGGCAGATTATAGGTTTGCTAAAGTAAAAGCTCTTTTATCCAGCACTTCACCAATGGCAGGCTCAGTAAACTGGCATTTCTGATCTGCTAGGAAAGTTCAGTTTATAATATGTGGTTGGTACGTGGCCAACAGGCGGTGAGGGCATAGGAGACACTATGGGGTGCACTCTGGGAGATAGTTTGGGCTGAAAAGAGGCTTGAGATTGGGGTTTAGGCACAGGGTGCTGGGCGAGGCACTTACCTCCAACAGCCCACACAAGCAGCTTCCCATCCCTGTTATTGCTGGCAAAGGTGTGACCAAGTGGCTCTGCAGGCATGTCATTTCAGTCCCCCTTTCTTGAGCGCTGACTCTGCAGTTCCCAGACCTTTGGTCAAGAACTGCAGCCAATGGAAGCTGTGGGGGTGGCAACTGTAGACAGAGGTACTGTGCACACTTACAGCAGAGCTACCTGGCTAGGACTCCACCAGAAGCAACAAGAATGCAGAGCTGCTTATGGGAGGCTGCTGGAGGTAAGCACCCGTCCCCCTCTATCCAGTAACCTGAGTCCCTCCTGTGCCCCAATCCCCTTGCCAGAGCTTGT